TTTGTTTATTAGATGTATCACACAGTGAGAAAAGTGTTATTTACTGGATGACAAGGTTTCGAACAAAATTTATTGTGGTTCATAATCATGTCATCAATTGTAATCACACGACTTGGAAACTTGAGTTTTATAGTTTTCCTTGTCTTCTCCTATTCGTCGTATGGGTAGTAGTATTTTCCAGATATCTGGGTGGACAGGTGTTGAGTCAATCCTATTACACATATTTGCAGTTGATTCAATCAATCTCTCCCTCCACCCTATGACATTAGATTTTAGAACTGTCATCCTATCCCATCCTATCGTATGGTTGTTTGTAATTGCCTGTAGTGCTGTAGCTGAACTATTCTCTAGATTTCTTATCTTATTCGGATCAACTAATCTAGATTTTATCAAGATTTTATTCTCCACTATTCTGACTGACTGATAAACTCAATCAGAAACAAGCTTTGCCGATTAAAAGATCCTGTGTAGCCAATTAAACAAAACAACTTAGTCTATCTAATACCTTACAATGATTGTCGGGTCAGATACATAGATCGAAATATTAGCACAGGATCAATCAGATTGACACAGCACAAAAACCTGGCGAAATCTAGATAATTTCACCATAATAAGATAATAGGAAATCTGGAGAACAGTTCAGCCGTAGGTAACACTACAGGCAATTGCAAACAACCATACAATAGGATGATGGGATAAGATGACAGTTCTAAAATCTAATGCAACATGGTGGAGGGAGAGACTGAAAACTAAAGCAGCTTCTTTTATCGAGTCAGCTGCAAAATATGTCTAATAGGAATGACTCAACACCTGTCCCAGATATCTGGAAAATACTACTATGCCTACGACAAAGAGAAAAGGACAAAGAAAACTATAAAACTCAAGTTTCAAAGTTGTGTGATCATAGTTGATATGATTATGAACAATAAATTGTGTTCTAAACACTGTTATCCAGTAAATAATACTGTTTCACTGTGTGTTGTATCAAATAAACTTGTGTAATGTGCAATGCATCACGACCAATACTTTGCACAGCAAGTTTACAGTATATGCTCTATACTTCTGTCTCAGAATATTGCTTCAGGATTTCCAAAGTGAATCGTTAGAAGTATCTGATAACTCCACTTATATGGCTGGTGGTCGTATACACAGTGCGTCGGTGGCACAGTGGTCAGGACTCTCGCCGACCATGCACATGGTCCGGGGTTCGAGCCCGCACCGACGCACATCTGATATCTATGGTCGGCCTGCAAAATTTGGGCTACCGATATCCATGCTGAAAATTCCATACTTGTACCAAAAATACAGTGTGGAATCAAGCTGTAAATCAAAAATAAAATAAATAAAAATAAAATAAAAAATACACCGTAGGTGGTGTGGTGGAAGAAATTTCTAACCGTATAGGGAGGGAAAGCCAAGGCGGCGGATTCCGAACTTAGTTACTTCTGGTTCTATCATAACGATAGAGTTGACTTAAAATTCTCATGCGTACAATTATCCTCTGAGTCTATGAAACCTAACCACTCGGAGCTGAGGAGTGTTAGGCCGCCGGTGTCTCTTTGGAACTGCTTACATATTATGGCATCAGTTTGTACGCAATTCTGAGGTCTATGGAGCATGTATGAACATGGCGGAGACCGTCCTCCAATAAGTAATGTAACCATAGGACACTAGCTTAATGGTTTGGATATGTACTACAAATGTCGATGCAGCAACTTCTATAATGTCTGCTTTTAGCTAGCCCAGAAATTGAGTGAAACTGTCAAGAAGCTGTTGGTTTATAGCGAGAAGTGCTGAGATGAAGGATGTTTATATCATGTTGGTATCTGTTGGAGTTCCACAATTTCCAAGCTGAGGTTAGACAGACTGTACGATTTAGTGGCTCCAGAAGTTTATACCTGAGAAATGGAATAAATGGATGACATGCTGCAGCTACCTACTTTCTTTTCTTTCTGAAAGGAATAAGAAGTAATGAAGGCTCTTTTGAATGCTGTTAATATGTACGCTTAACTATTTTTCACTTTAACAAATGAGAGGTTATCAAATTATCATTTATTAAAACACAAATTCCTGAGTCGCATCATCCTGGAGAGAATAAAGGACACACTGGATGCAGAACTCCGACCAGAACAAGCTGGATTCAGGAAAGGCCAAAATTGCAACTCTACGCATCATCATCGAACAAAGCATGAAATGGCAATCAAACCTCTAACTCAACTTTATAGACTTTGAGAAGGTCTTCGACAGCGTCGACCACGAAGTAATTTGGAAACTACTCGAGTACTATGGCGTACCCCAAATATTCATCAACCTTATTCAACAGCTGTACGACAACGGAACATGTCGTCAAGTGATCCACAACGGAAAACTCAGTGAGGCGTTTGAAGTAAACATAGGAGTCAGACAAGGGTGCTCATTATCACCAATGATATGATTTTGCATCAAAGAGTGGGAAATGAGAAGACAGGAATATCCTGGACCGACGTGAAGAACCCAGAAGACCTGGATTTCGCGCGTGGATGATTTATGCTTGACGTCACACAAAATCGAAGAATTACAAGCGAAAACCGACAAACTGGTCGAAGAAGCAGCCGGCGAAGAAAGGACTCAGGGTGAACATAGACAAGACGAAAGTTATGAAAATGACCAAACAACCAACAACAACAACAGAAGCAGCAACATCCAGCGCCAATCACCATCAATGGGAGGGATTTGAAAGAGGTCACTTCATTCACTTCCCTTATCTAGGGAGCATTGCCTCAACTACAGGAGGAGCGGACGAGGATGTCAAATCGAGCGACAATTGGGAAGGCGAGAAACACATTCATCAACCTGAAACAACCAATCTGGAAATCTTCGTCACTCAACCAGCCAGCATCAACAACAAAATTCCGTCGGATTTTCAATACAAACAGCGTCATGTCAGTCGTCTCTTCTATACGGATCAGAAACTTGGCAGGCAGGTCACAAATAATATTTCTAACAGCCTGTTGCAGACCCACCTTTATCAACAACTGTCTTCGCTGGCTCTATACTGAAGATCAGATGGCCGGGTCGGAAAGAATCACCAACAAAAAACTATGGGCACAAACAAACAAAACAAGAACCAATCGCCAACCAACAAATATGCAGGAGAAAGTGGAGATGGATTGGACACTCACTGAGGAAACCGCTGGGTGACATCGCGCGTCAGGCCATTGCTCCAGTGGAACCCGAAACGGAAGCGGCGGCGAGTGGGTCGTCAGTGCAAGGGTGACATGGAGGTGACCGTGTGAAGAGGAGCAGGAGTTGAAAGAGTATGGACTAACATGTATGCAGGTGAAAAGTACAGCAGAAGACAGAAGCAAGTGGAGACGTTCAGCTGAAGCCCTATGTTCCACTTGGAACTCAAGGGAACAATAATAATAAAACGCACACACACTTGGTACATTATATGCAGTAATCGATGCGCCACACAAAGTCTCTTAGTTTTTGCGAGGGTCGGAATACTGGCTAGAGTGAAGTGGGTGGTTGTCTTAGGAGTCCACCTTCAAGCCATTAAATTGAAGTCTGACCCACTAAGCACTCGGATGGGGCCAACAGCTGCCTTCACATGGTTGTCGGTCATCAGAATAGGTTAATACGCCATTCTATCTGTCCAGATTCTGGGGCCCATATACACTATAGATTTTAGGTCAAAGTTTTCCAACTCCCCCTAGGTAAACTGGGATATTCAATATTTCGGTTGTAAGCACCTCTTGACTTCTGTGAAGAACCACCCCACCACCTAAAAATGTACACGATCTTTTATCATACTACCAAAAGGTGTAACAGTCTCCTTGTCTCTATATGTAATACTCTCAGATTTATAATCTCAGTTCCGTACATTGCCTCATCAACACTTTAGTCAGAGATTGTATACCTCTGAGTTGGTTTGCTAAGAACATCTTTTCACTGAGTGAAGACTTCCACATTATTAGAACAGTCATTCATATGTTACAGATACTGAGTGAAATCTATCCTCAGGGTCAAGAATATTCACTGATGTACAAGGGAAATATCGCCACCTACTTACAGCTGTCATTTTGCACTGAGAAACTTTTACGAGTACGTACCCATGACTTCAAAAAGTCACCAGAGCCTAAAGTTCACTATGCCAATCAATTAACCGCTAAGCCACTTGGATGGATTGCAATGATCCATGAATTCAAATTTCTAACAATTCATGATACGCAGTAGCACCACTGTTCAATATCATCGACAAGCGTGTGCCTCACACTCAGCATGGCACACCCCACTGGTCAAGACTTCTTATCAGAACTGCATGATAGGTTCCTTGACGAATCACTGAAATTACTTCACTACTCATACTGAAGATTGGAATACGCCTCAAGGATTTCTTTAAATTTCCTAAAACCTGATATCTATGGTTGGCCTGCGAATTTTGGGCTACCGATATCCACGCTGAAAACTCCACACTTGTACCAAAAATACGGTGCGGAATCAAGCTGCAACCATAAAAAAAAAAAAAAAAAAAATATTCACTAGTCAAATTATTTTCAAATTGTCCACTGGTGGATCAGGAATAGAATGATCGTTGACCACGTAGATTGTCCAGGTTCACCTTCCAGCCGACGCACTCCTAAACGTCGCCTAACCAGCAGTAATTCTGTGAAAGGGTGAAGTTTCGGAATTAGGACTGGAGCCAATTCCCCCCCCCCGTACTCCATAAAAACAGAATAATAATACGGGCGCGATCGCAGCCTCAGAGCTCAAATCTTGGAACCTCAAAATCCACTTGAAATATGAAGAAATTTAAAAGAAAAATATTCTTTTCAAAGACAACAGTCTGTTTCCAATCACATCAAATTTATTATTTACACATTCTGAATCAAATTTCACGAAATAAAATAAACAATAATTAGTTTTTTTATGCAAACAGTTTACCTACTGTTAGGCCTATTAAGTAGTATTCTTATAATGTATGTAAAAAGGAGCGTAAAATATAGAAAAAAAGCAGTTTACAAATTCAACATCATAGTCATTAATGTAATGAATAGGACAAAAACCAATGAAACTTTCAATTTATTTACATGATTACATCCATTCCAATCATTACAATAACAAAATCGTTTAAAATTCATATTTTTATCTTTAAATAATCCCATAGCTGTTTCAGCTAATACATCACCTTTTAATTTTCCAAGTAAATATTGTTGATAATCCCGTGAATTTACACAGTAACCATGACGACGAAGTTGTGGCATATCTAAACGATATTGTGTATTCAATAGTAGATCACTTAAACAACCACGTGTTACAGTGATTTGATCTGTGTGCAAATAAATACAAACATTAAAATAATATAATAATTTATAACAAAAACGGATTATTTACAATTTGAGTTTTGCACATCTGGTCATCAGTCGATGTTCTCCGGAGAAATTTTAAAGACAAAGGAGTAATTCACAGTTTTTTCGTCATGGTCTAAGAGTCTGCACCAGCGCACACTCACATACCAAGTAGACTTTTGACCCAGAACATTAGGACTGTCTTTTTATAGTCTCCACTTACGCGCCAATAGACTGCAGTTCGGATGAACTAAAGGATGAATTCTACCTGAAAACTGTCCAAATTGCCGCCAAAAGCAAAACCTTCAGATGTAGGTGTTTTAGCAGGCGACTTCAATACCCAAGTAGAGAAGTTGTGCCAGGTTGAGAAGTATGTAGGTGGTACGAATGGAGTACCCTGCAGACGAACCGACAACGGTGATCGTCTTCTACAGATTTGCTCAGATAATCACCTGTTCCTAGTCAGCACTAACTTTAGGCACAAAGAGAGACAATGCGTAACCTGGAGACCTCCATCAACAAATCAACGCTGGACTCAGATAGAACACATAGCGATAGGGTATCGTTGGCGAGGGTCAGTAGAAGACTGTCGCTCCTTCTAGAACACGTGCGTAGACTTTGATCACGCTCTGGTTAGCGCACGTTTATGCTTACGACTAAGTGGATATAAGAAATTGCTGGCAGCGAAACAATTACGTCCCGAACTAGATCGAGACACTGAGTCCTTATTTAACGAAGAAATAGCAAAACGAGTGTCTGAGGTCGACAGCAGGTAGCCTGGCACAACATACAGCTAGCTGTAGACACAGCTGTAAAAGCTGTTAATGACCTAAAACCAAAAGTTAGTAAGAGCCATTGGATCTCTACCGCCTCATCCGAACTGATTGACGCAAGAAGACTGATTCCGACCAGCTCCAATTATGATGAGGAGCGAAAGCTACACAAACGGAAACCTACAAGAAAACTCCGAAACGACCGTGAACAGTGGTGGGCGAAAAAAGCGAAAGAGATGGAAAAGGCATCGGCGATTGGTAACACCAGACAACTACTAGACTTATCAGGGAAACAGGTGGTAAAAGGCAAATGACAAGTGAAACAATCTCTGAGGATAATGACACCATAATTAGCTCTCAGGATAGACGACTGGAACGCTGTTAAGAACACTGTGAGGATCAGTTTAACTGGCCTACAGCCACACTAAACTTACCGAACGTCCAACATATTCCTGAATGGGATATAGACACAGGTCCCCCGTCCCAAACTGAGGTTACTGAGGCTGTAACTAGTCTGAGACGACGCAAAGCAGAAGGACCTGATGGAAGTATTTAAGTACGGTGGAGACAGTTTACTGTCTGCGTTAACTGAGGTACTAGGCAGTGTCTGGGTATCAGAGAAATTCCCATCGGGTTGGTGTAAGTCATTGATTATCCCAACATACAAGAAGAGACAAGTCTTCCTGCGATAATCACAGAGGGATTAGCTTGACTAATATGGTATGTTAAGTTCTAGGCTCAATAGTCATGCGTAGACCAAGAGGTACCCGGGAGTCACAAACACGAGAGAACCAGGCAAGCTTTAGACCAGGAAGAGGGTGTATTGATTCAATCTTCACCCTTTGACAGATTCTGGAACATAGGCATACTTACCGGCGTCTAACAATCGTTATATTTCTTGATCTAAATGCGGTAATCCATTCTGTCGACCGAGAGGTTCTCTGGCGATGCTTGTCTGTAAAGGGAATGCCGATAAGATACATTCCACTGATCAAGACACTCTACTCGGCTCATGCAGCCAGGTGAGGGCTTACGGCGAGTTGTTATCTGAAGTGGTGACTACTAGTGGTGTCCGACAGGGATGCCCACTATCCTCATTTCTATTCAAATTTCATCATAGATGTACTAATGGACTTAACCCTAAGTGACTTCAGCGACTCAGGGATTGACTTGTTATCAGCTAGAGAATGATCCCGTTGACTTAGGATATTCAGATGATATAGTCCTTTTAGGTGAAGACGCTGACAAAATGCAGAGTCTTGTGAACACCTCGAGTTACAGTCTACGAATGTTCAGCATGAGATTAGCTCCCGCCAAATATAAGATGATGCTACAGGACTGAATTACATTGATTCCTACTTTAGAAATAGGGAGTGAAGTGGTAGGGCGTTTTGACCACTTCACTTATTTGGAAAGTTGCATCAACCAGCCACAACGGGTTGATTGCTGACGAAATATCAGCATAGATACATAAGGCTTGGTTCGCATATGCCAGTTTACGCCGTCTCTGGCGTAGACGTGATATCCGGCTATCGACCAAAGGACGTGTATACTGCTCATCAGTCCGCTCCGTTCCTTTTATGGCAGTGAGACGTTGCCGTTGAGAGTGGAAGACATCAAAAGGCTAGCTGGCTGTCTTTGATCATAGATGCCTGAGTTCTGTCTCCTGTGTGAAGTGGTATAGTACGGTGAGCAATATTGAGGTTATTCGTCGAGTGCTAGGTAAGGAGAGGAAATCAATCGACGAGGCTGTGAAGCTACATCGACTGAGATAGTTCAGACAAGTGTTACGCAAGTTTAGTCACCATCTTCCTCGACAATGGGCAATTTTAGCTGACATAGGGTTAGGTTGGAAAACATGACCTCATCAGTCAGTGAAATTCACAACAGTTAGTTTAAGCCACGTAGGAAGATGTAGACTTCCTGGTTGGGGTCCTCAAGACGATAAACATCAGCGGCTGCAGACAAGTGGTGATATGGCTCAAAATCGTTCTCAATGACAGTGCAGATGCATCCAATCCTTACGACTTATAATTTTCAATGTAACTATATTGTTCTTCGATATTACTATTCTTTTTGCGTCATATTTCTGTTTACTGTCTCTATTTTGCGTTTGTTTTTTTGTTTATTCTCTGGCTTTGTGTGCTGAGTGAAGTTTGGCGACTCGAACTGCTGCATATCGATGCAAAGTTCTATGTTGAAACCAGTTAGTTAGTCAGCCAGGTATTTGGTGGTAATAACGTCATTTTGCTAATTAACAGGAGTTAGAATTCATGGGTCGTTGAATACTAGCCCACTGAGTAAATGGTCAAAGAGCTGACCTCTAAACCTGAAGGTCCCCAATTCGATCACTGTAAGAGACATGAGTACATATTCCTGAACAATATAAAGTTAGGGTGAAAAGGCTGAGCATTATTTCTTAGTCTCCAGGGTCTCTTCAACTGACATCAATTCACAACAAGATCTACACTAAAAAAATATTGTCAATAATTTGGTCCCATAAAATCTCCAGTCCCATTGGTTTTCAAAAAGACTGTTATGATTAAGACAGCCAATTCATCTCCATTTTTTATGTTGAAGCTCAGAAAGTGGGTTTTGTCCTGTCTGGGAGTCATCGTCTACCGCATACACCTATGCTCCTCCCCCGACTGAACCTCAAATGCATTTCACTCCAACATAAGTAAGTCATCATGAGCCAACATTGATAGCAGGACAGTTAGGAAACCTGGAGGTCCCGGACAGTTGTCTCGTCTTAGTATGGGACTCCACGACGGTATGCCTCCAAAGAGGTTCGAGCCCAGGAAATTCCGGTCACAAGGAGAACTAGTAGGCCATTAAGCCACAGCCAGCTGATCTACTGGGCCATAAATTTCAACTTCTGCCAATTACCGATATAGCACAACCACTAGCCTGTCTGATCACTGAGCATTTGTTCAAACACCCAACCTGCTGTTGCCCACTGGTCACAACTTCCCACTGAACCCATGTCATCACCTGCCTGAATAGGGCCAGTCACTAGTGAGCATCACATTTATATTCAAGTGTTGGTTTCCAAGGATTTGGCTAGTTTCATGACTTCAGTCTACATTCGGACCTCGGTGGGTGAGTACCCATGAGGAGTCCCAAACTAGTACGAAACAGCTGTCCAGTATTCCGAGATTCTCTAACTAATTTCACCTCATGATGAAATACTGAGATCAATCAAATCAAAGCAAACCAACACTTGAATAAAATAAATCACCTAAGAATTCTAAATCAGAATTTAAACAAATAAAAACTGATACACGTTGTGACCCAGTGGCCTACTGGAGAACACTTCGTTGTTTGGAGCGCTGGATGGTGGTTGAATTCAGGTAGCAGTGGGAACACCATTAGATACACCCAGAAACTGATTAGTCCTTAATATGATGAAATGAGTATTTCGGATTTCACTGTTAACCGTCATTAGTTTCAATCGGCCTCAACTAGTTGGATGAAATTACTGACATTCTCTCTGTCTGTTGCTTTAAAAATTAGAAGCATTTTAGCGATAATCAATCATCGCCTAACCTCAAAACATATTCTATACTTTTCTTTGAAAAATTCTGTCTAATCTTCTTGCCAGTTCATACTCGATGATCAAATGTTAAGATATGGGAGGTTGTGACTAGATTAGTTACAAGATTTCATCATGAGCTGATATTAGTTAGAGAACCACTGGGAAACCTGCAGGAAGTACTGAACAGCTGTTTTGTCCTAGTTTAGGACTCTCCATCAGTACGCACCCCCCGGGATTCGAACCCAGGACCCTCTGGTTACAAAACGAGCTCGTATACCATTACGCCACGGGGACCTGACCCGATGGCCAGTGTAGGAGTTCTAACTTCTGCCAATTCACGACATAGCGAGACCCCTAGCCAATGTCTTCAGCAAGTATTTGTCCTCACACCCGACCTGCTGCACCCTACTGGTCACGACTTCTCACTAGAGCCCCAGGTAACTACCTACCTGAATAGGGCTAGTCACTAGTGAGCATCTTATTGTTATTCAAGTGTTGCCTCCAAAGCCTCAGGATGGTCGGGGGTGGGTGCCTTGCGCTGCGGGTTGGCCACCCCTCCGCACACCTCTTGAAATGCTCCCATATGACCGGGCGTCTTACATAGCCTCTCCTGAGGAAGTCCTACTCACTGCCTTCACGTGGCGGAGGTGTTTCTCACCAAAGTGAGAGGGCGAAAGCGGATGCCCGGCGCTCTCCACCGGGTTGACTGTCCATTGGATGACAGTCTAGGGGAGATGGCTAAACCCTGATTCCAAACCTCCAACGATTGGCGTATGAAGCTCACTGGAGCTCACCGGCAGACGTATGGACAAAGGGCTTGTTGGTTTTCCTGGATGTCTGGCCCCATTCAAAAAGGCGTATGAACCGAACTCCGGTCATCGGCTGCCAATGGATAGTGGACTCCTTACTCCACTCCTACTGCCTTGTAGGTCACACTTGGTTGTGTAAAGGCTAGAGCTGCACTCTCAAACAAAAGGCCGAGCGATGCTGGGGACATCACTCGTACCAAATTCCCATGAAACTTCAAGAACTCTCTTACAAATTGCCGCGCCTGGGCAGCGATGATTCGAGACGTTCATGAAGCCGGCTCATCCTCCCGTAGGAGATAGCCGAAGTAAAGTAAAGTAAGTAAGTTGGTTTGTAGGGATTTGATCGGTTACAGGATTTCATCATGAGCTGATATTAGTTGAAGAACCATTGGAAAACCTGGGTGTACTGGATAGCTGTTTCGTTCTAGTTTGGGACTCTTCATCAGTACGCCATGAGCCATTGGATCGTGTCCCAGTAGCTTAATGGTATACGAGCTCGCCTTGTAACCAATAGGTCCTGGGTTAGAACCCATGTGGTGAGTGCGTACTGATGAAGAGTCCCAAACTAGGACGAAACAGCTGTCCAGTACTCCCAGGTGGTTTTCCAATGGTTCTCTAACTAACGTCAGCACATGATGAAATCCTGTAACCAATCAAATCCCTACAAACCAACACTTGAAATGCAAAATATGTGGAGATCACTTGGATTTACCAATATCCTTCATACCTTCATTCTGTTCTTTATACCAAACTTTAAAAAGAGGCAAGCAGAGAAGACACAAATTCAAGTGAACATAGAAGTGATGAAGATGCCCATTGACCGACAACTACAAACAGCACCAATCATTATGAACGGAAAAAACAGGAAAGTGGTTACTTCGTTCACTTATCCAGCCAGGAAGCACCGTGTGACCTACAGGCGGAACCGATGAAGATGTTGAAGCCAGTCAGGATCAGAAAGGCAGGACACACTTTCATCAGTCTGAAATCGGTCTGCAAATCTTCTTCACTCAACAGCACAAAGAAAAACATTCGCATTTCCAAGAAAAATGTTCAGACATCCAGTTAATTCTTGTACTGCACGTTACCAACAGTATTTCCAACAGGTCACTGAAGACCTTCATCAACAGGTGCCCGCTTTGATCGCTCCATATTTAAGATCAAATGGACGGCTGGTCAGAGAGAAGGAGTAACAAGAAACTCTGCACTTTAACACAAACTAACCATGAACTTATTTCTCAGCAAATATGTAGAAGAAAAGGGAAATGGAACGGGCACACGCCACTGAGGATACCTTCGTATGACACTGCACTCAGCGCAGGCCATCACTCGAGTGGAACCCCGATGGAAGACGACAAGTTTGGCATGTGTCTTGTAGTGACATGGAGGAGGTTGTGAGAGGAAGAGATAAGAGACTATGGACAATCGTGAGGCCAGCTAAAGGGGTCCGCAGAAAATAATACGAAGTGTAGATGTGCTATTGAGTCTCTACGTCTCACTCGGAACTCAAATGAATAATAATAATAATAATCTTCATACGTCACAGTATGTTGAGACCATAAGCTCGAGAAGTTTTCGAGTCAGCTTTCAGCTTATCAATATTCTTCAGTCTAACTTGATAATAAAGTATCGTTAAATCACACACACACAAGGAGAATTTAAGAAGATAATTTCCATTGTATAATTCAATACCAAATAAGAACGTATTAAATGACGATTGATTCATTAGTCTTTGATTTAACTAATGTGATGTGGGCTATTGACATCAGTAGTATCTAGATGCAGATTGATAAGGAGCAGTTGGTATCGAAAACAACATTTTCAGTCAGTCGATGCAGAGGTAGAAGTGTTTATTCTTCAAGTCTGGATTTAGTTCACGTTGTGGCCAGGAAATAATCTCATTGAGTAACTTTTCGTCTCAAGGTTTAGCCTTCGGTGAATCGACAACCAATCAGAATAGTTTGTGGCCGATGGCCTAGACAATGTATAAATGTGATGTGCTTCTTCTTAGTAAAACGTTCCGTTACCCGGTCTCTTGACTTCCCGCGTTACACTAACATTAAGATATTAAATTGTGATCCGTTTTATTTTCCAACTTCAAATAACATTCACCAATAAGGCAAAATTCCCTCAATTTTAAGGAAACTGATTTCTCCTCGGACACTTGAACTTCTAAAGGCCAAGTTTTAAGTCAGTGATTTCTCTGCTGGATAGTTCACACAGTGGCTGACCCATTTTGCAAAGAGTTGATTTACGTCCGTTGGATGAAAACTAATTCATGGATAATTGCTGAATTTAGAAGAAAAATTGAAATGCATTAGGATTCTGATGACATAAATTTTGCTTCAGAGTCCTTGTAGATAAATTCCAGGCTAGTGGAGAGACTACCCTACGCAGCTCTCTTCAAGGAAGCAGTATGAGTCATCCACGGCATATGACTTTAGTTAATTACCTGACTTTTAGACTAAAAGATTTGTGGGGAAGTGGATTCATTTAACTTCAACTACTAGATTCCATCATTAAACAACATCAGTTTAAGAGTTCACTGAAAACCAGCGGGGTACTGGACAGCTATTTCGACTTATTTTGACATTCCTCGGCAGGGCATACGTACGAATCCTTAAGGATTCGCATCCGAGGCCTTCAGATTACGAGATCAAGATTGTTGGCGATTCAGCCACTTAGGCTGGGATTCTAGTTTTGTCAACTCGTGATATAGTGAGTGCTACCATCAACTAACGCCTTAGATAAGAATCCACTTTACCTTCACATGGTGGATCCCCTGATCTCAGCCTTGCAACCTATAGTTGACAAAGTTAGAATTCACGGGTCACTGAATTCTGTTTCAAGTGACTGAATGGTCAATGAGCTTGATCTCGTAATATGAGCATCCTGATCATCCAACCTCCAGCTGGATAAGGGGTGCGCACAGATGCAGAGTACCAAAATAGTTCGAAATAGCTATCCATTACTTCATGTCTTTCAATGATCTCTGTAACTGATATTGGTTTGTAACTTCATCTATCTGTTGATATATATAAAATAACATTTTTATTAACTATGTGTTAAAAAGCAATCCTACCTTCAACCTTCTGAACTAATTTAACACAGTAATTCTCAATCAATCTTCGACCAGTACATTTTTTCCAATGCATTAATCGAACATCTATTGGATCACCACAGCCTGATTGGGCACTTGTACATGAATAGCAGTATAATTCAGCTGAAATGACTTCTAAAAGGAAGTCACAGATAAAAGAAATAGGAGACAATTATTGATGCAGTACTTAAAGCGTTAATTACATTGCAAATTCCTACAGTAACATTAACAATAATAAAGGTAAGGTCATTTGGGTGAACTCTTCTTTAGTTCTGCCCTAGTACTTCTTGGCAATGCGGAGCATTAAGTTTAAGATATTGGAACTTTAAGGTGACCCAACTAGTTGAAGTCGAATTAATGCCTTGAGCATAAGGTAAAGGCACAGTCACATTTGTACCCAGTGTCTGACAGCATACTAAGAAAATAATAATTTTTTCTTTTATTCCAGAAACAGTACTAGTGGTACAGTGTGGAATTTTCAGCACAAAACAGTATCAGTCATCTAATAACTGCCTTCATGGTTGTAGTGAGTTCGTGACCACTAAGTTGGACAACAATCCTTGGTTGTGTGGTTTCTTTGTTTACCGAATAAAGCATGGAATGGCAATCAGACCTCTAACTCAACTTTATAGACTTTGAGAAGGTCTTCGACAACGTCGACCATGAAGTAATTTGGAAACTACTCGAGTACTATGGCGTACCCCAAATATTCATCAACCTTATTCAACAGCTGTAAGACAACGGAACATGTCATCAAGTGATCCACAACGGAAAACTCAGTGAGGCGTTTGGAGTAAACACGGGAGACAGACAAGGGTGCTCATTATCACCAATGATATTCCCAATTGTGGTGGACTGGATTATGCGTCAGACACTGGGAAACGAGAAGACAGAAATATCCTGTCTGGACCGATGCGAAGAACCTAGATGATTTACGTTTGATGTCACACAAAATCGAAGACTTACAAGCGAAAACCGACAAACTGGTCGAAGAAGCAGCCGGCGAAGAAAGGACTCAGGGTGAACATAGACAAGACGAAAGTTATGAAAATGACCAAACAACCAACAACAACAACAGAAGCAGCAACATCCAGCGCCAATCACCATCAATGGGAGGGATTTGAAAGAGGTCACTTCATTCACTTCCCTTATCTAGGGAGCATTGCCTCAACTACAGGAGGAGCGGACGAGGATGTCAAATCGAGCGACAATTGGGAAGGCGAGAAACACATTCATCAACCTGAAACAACCAATCTGGAAATCTTCGTCACTCAACCAGCCAGCATCAACAACAAAATTCCGTCGGATTTTCAATACAAACAGCGTCATGTCAGTCGTCTCTTCTATACGCATCAGGAACTTGGCGGCCAGGTCACAAAGAATATTTCTAACAGCCTGTTGCAGACCCACCTTTATCAACAACTGTCTTCGCTGGCTCTATACTGAAGATCAGATGGCCGGGTCGGAAAGAATCACCAACAAAAAACTATGGGCACAAACAAACAAAACAAGAACCAATCGCCAACCAACAAATATGCAGGAGAAAGTGGAGATGGATTGGACACTCACTGAGGAAACCGCTGGGTGACATCGCGCGTCAGGCCATTGCTCCAGTGGAACCCGAAACGGAAGCGGCGGCGAGTGGGTCGTCAGTGCAAGGGTGACATGGAGGTGACCGTGTGAAGAGGAGCAGGAGTTGAAAGAGTATGGACTAACATGTATGCAGGTGAAAAGTACAGCAGAAGACAGAAGCAAGTGGAGACATTCAGCTGAAGCCCTATGTTCCACTAGGAACTCAATAATATAATAATTGAGGGGTATTTAAATACTTTGTGAAATTTTTCATGAAATACAAATTATTCATATAGTTTATAATTTATGAACCTGATCTTTGATTGAGCGCTGTTTCCAGAATGTCTCTTCATAGTTAGAGTGTCGTTTTTATCCTAAGTGCAGAGTGGAGAGATCAGTGTTATTTAGTTGACAGATGTCTGTGAGAAGTTAAACTTTGGACGCCGAAGACGTGTGGATGCACCAGGGACCCTGGAAGGTGCAGTAGTGCCGAAAGGTTAATTTGGTCTTCTAACCCCAACCCTAGGCTTAATGTTTCCCTAACCTAACTTATATCTATCTTTAACCTATCCCCAAATTAGCTTCATCTACCTCGAGCTAACTCTAATGTCTCCCTTATTAGGTTGACGTAGCCCTAAACCAGTCTTAGTTTAAACCTTAACTTAATCTTTCCTAAATACAACCTAAAGTTTACCAGATATCCCGTTTAATATCGTAACACTTCATTACCTGGTTTCAATGACTTGCTAAATGAGCTTCTCATGGTCACTGGTGCGTTCGCTCCTCTTAGTTGCCTAAAGTTTAACTTTTCCAGTGTTCGCTTGTTGAGCATGAGGAATTCATATATGAGCCAGTTCAGATTTTGTGCAAACTACGACGTGAATAGTTTTGATTTTACCGTGTTTTCTTCTTAGATAGTCGCTTTGAGGTATGATGTGCTTTAATTTACAGACGTTTACTGTTCTCACTTGCGTGAAAGTGAAGATTTTATCTAAGATGTAGTTTTATTAAGACATTAGTTAGAACTGTTTGGTCCATAAACACAAGTGAGCAGTTTTTAAGTAGATGTGCTCTCCGAAGAGGTTGATTTAATTGCGCCCACCGGGGTTCTAACCCAGGACCTTCTGGTTACAAGGTGAGCACGTAGACCATTTAGCCGCTGGGACCCGATCCAATGGTTCTTGAATTCTAACTTCTACCAATTCACGACATAGCGCGAATGTTTTTCTTCAATGAGTTACTGCCTCATCTTCAACCTGCTGTACCCTACTGGTCACGGCTTCCCACTAGAATCCCAGGTCAACTGCCTGAATAGGGCCAGTCGCTAGTGAGCATCAGATGACTGGATACTTTTAACTCTAAAGGTTTATCTTTGGTGGGTTTTTTGTATTTTTTTCAAATGCTCTTTTCTCAAACTGTTAAAGTATTCTGTTCATTATATCTTAAGTAGTTTAATATGCAGAATCAAGGGCCATTTTGTTTATTTCACCTAAATGTTCGATTGTTGATAATAAGGATTGACATTTCAAGATAAAGTATTTGAGATAGTTGTTTCTTGAGACGTTTCAAGACAACAGCTTTAGCCTAAACATTTCTGCACTTCTAATTGATGAAAGAAAGCGTTTTAGTGCTTATAAAGGACGTCCTCAAGCAACAGCATTGAAATAGCTTGTGAAAATTAACAAAACGTTATTTTATGATGGTTTATTTTACCATAATTTAAGAATCTTTATGGAATGAGCATGACCATTTTCCCTAGTGTTTGATTTATAAAGAGATTTATAAGGATAATCTAAGTTTTGCATGGTAGTTACTTCAGAGATTACCAGTTACTTAGCTAGGCTGAATTCTGTATTGAAATGTGGATCCTGTTGCTGTATTTACTCTAGTTATTTCAAATTTATGTGATAATGATAAACATTTGAGGGAATAGAGACGTAGAAGATTTCGCTGAGACGCTGTCATGAACCAAAGTATTTCCAACACCTTCGTAAAAATGGCTTAGGCATCATGCTACAAGTAATTTAAACAGTCAAACAAAAAAGTATGAAGGCTAAGAAGAGCTGTTTATATGAATACTGTAAAGGTGAATATACTCACCAGTTAGAATTAGAATATCGTTCTCAGTCAGCTTTTTTCTAATAGCTGGTCATTTCTTTCCCAGTCACCTAATACTCTGTACTATGAAGATAAATCAGAGCACAAGGAACAACATCCTACGTGTTTTAGTAATATCTTTTAATAAGAACATTTCCACCAGCATTTGCCTTGTTTGGAGAAGAAATCCAAAAAATTAAGTAAATCTAAATTATTTGGAGAAGCATACACCTAGTCTTGTGATTTTTACACAATAAGGTATATAAGTTTCATACACAAGGCTTAGAAACTGTATTGAAATGCTCTTTAATGAAACCAGCAACTCATCACATCACAAGATTCCTTCATTTACTATGCATTCTACTGTGATATTATACTCTTCCATGGTCAGGCTTGCAATCTAATTCAGTTACCCACATATTAAGTCTGCTGACTACTACCAAACACAGGCTGCATGATGTTTTCATTTTTGCTCCTGAACTTTCTAACTCGCTTTCAAAACATGTCTAACCATGAACAAATATGAACTGAACTGGCACTGTCGCCAATTAGCTCAATGGATTACTTGAAGACAGCTATCCTCCGATTATGTGTTCAATGTGTATAGGAGTACACTTTGTTCATAAACGGCTTCTGCACTTTTGGTGACCCAGTTTAAGCCCAAAAGCAGCCCTACAAGAAAGCTACAAATGTGAATAAAAACTTCGAGGAAAGGGACAACTGTGGAATATTTTCATTACCAGATTTACAAGACGATTCCATCATGAGCCGCACCAGGCTATAACTCCTCACATAACTGTGACATTCAGGGCCAGGAAGGCCCACGTTAAGGAGATCGATGGGCATTTCTTATACTCTCCTGAAAAATTCTTTGCTATTCAAGAGGGAAAATCGCGGATATTCAGATGTTGCCATTTTAATGGTATATCCAAGTTTCCTATATACAAATGATATACACTTTATTATAACGCTTCAGTGTATGTATACTCTCATAATCTGTTCTCTCGTCAACATCATTTTCCGGGGCCAATACTAACCAACAGACAGAGAACCATGAGAATACTCCTATTACGATATCATACAAGATCAAATGCAGAACCATTTTGACTCAAGTGGAAGGATGTGGATGTTAAGTTATAGAATAGTATATCTTTTGAGATGTTCAAAATCACTTAACTGTCCTAATCACAGTTTGAAGCTTCAGTAGCTGTCACGAATATAAGCACGCTGGCCAAGGCTATACTTATTCATAGCAGCAAAAAATCAAATGACACCTCTCACTTAGTCATTTTAGTAAAACTGAGAAGTTCTGAGGCCTGTAGAATGATTAAAACATAAGTCAGGAACCTGTTCATGCAGAGAAGTCATTTGGTACGAGTCAGTGCAGTTCTCTTCTCTCGAAGACAGAAGAAAAACAATGTAGCACTACATAAGTTAAATTTTCTTCTGTTTCTAATGTATATAAGTGAGCTAACAAGAACAACTAGGCCTCATATTTGAGGATCGACCAATACTCTGCAGGGTTTTATGCACAAATGTGAAGTTTAAACTTAAACACAAAATCCCCTGCCTGATGATCTCACATTCTCAAGCATGTTGCTTGATGCCGCCATGCATGCATACGGCGGATAGACTTTTATCCAAGTTACAGATATAAATATCAGCTCACTGATAAAACCATATTCAAAAATGTGCAACCCGGGCCTAGGTGATCTTCGGAATAGTTGAGACTTTTGTGAAGACAGTTTGGACTTAAGGAAAAATGAAGGATGCAGAACTGCCAAAAAATGTTGTAATACATGTGGATGCTGAATTTCCGTTCAATTAATCGGTAGGAAACATGGCATTATTATTATTATCGCTTTTCTCTTGTCGACGATACTGGAGGACTAACTGGCGAAAGGATCAACTCCAATCACAGTAGTAGCAGTCTTAACATACCTCATACTACAAACCACATATAATTAATCCCAGCACTACTCCCTCTGGAGTCAACCAAAGCTACGACGGTCGAGTGGCGGGACAAGCTACGCAGAAGTTTACCGAAGATCAGGAACCTATACCTTACAATCAAGAAGCGAGCACAAAGAAATCAAACTGGTTTATACTAGCTCGTAAAAACGATAATGGATATTAATTAATTTTAATATTTAAACAATGATAAGTTTTGTTATTGTAATTTTGCTCGAAATATACCAATAACAAAACTTATCATTGTGTGTAAACTATTAAAATATAATTATACTTTATTTGATCTAATCCACAATGCTCAAACTTTTTACTGATATTAATATTGGATATTGTTTGGCAGATTATAGCACAAAATGGACATCATTGAAAGTTACAACTAAAGACAAGAAATCGATTTTATTCATACCAGGAGGAGTTGCAACATCTTATAATAATTATTATTGGCACCTTAGTGCCATCAAAACCCAAAACAATAAAACCGGAAATAGTTGTTTTCTACGAAGACGATGTGTATCAGCATTGAGACAAATCACAGTCATTATTTAATTTCACTAAAAAAGTTTAATCTCTAACTGCTTACCAGCTAAAAAGTGCAGTAAACCTACACCAAATATTGCATTCATTAAAGTGTAAACTGATGTTTACACTTTTATAAGTTTGCCAGAAAAATGATGCAGACAAACAAGTTCAATGTATATTAGGATTTCAGATTTATTGGTTGAAGAAAGAAGGCTTGGGGCCTATGTTAATCCTTTTCTAGAAAATTCCTGTGGTTGTCTAAACACTTCTTGAATGAATCAGTTGAGGTTGCAGACACCACTTCTTCTGGGAGTCGATTCAAAGAGTTTATGACTCTGTGTGAGAACCAGTACTCAACAGCAATATGATTTCTCCTTGGCTTTTGAACTTTCTGGATACAGTTTTCTAGTATTGACCTTAACAGAGATGTATATAAGGAGGTGAACATATCTCTGGTGATTCTAGAAATGCTCTGCGAAGCAACCATAAGTTAAATGCCTTCATTTAATTTCCAAACTTTCCAATATCTTATGTATTTATCACGAGTTTTTACCGGCTGTTTGGTTTTTCCTACCCAGTTTTCAAAGCTATTGATCGCCCTGTGTCTTCAGCAGGTTGTGGGGATTCGACCAATTTATTTTCGCTGTTAACCCCAGTATGATATCAGGTGTTGAATTTATTTGTGGAATGGTGAGTGACTTAGTATCAGCAGACTGTGCTGCTAAGGCAAATGAATTTCTCCTTATCAGGCGCTTTTCTCATCCCACTCCAGTGGAAGGGAAATATAAGTATAAGTATATGAGTAAACACTTATGAAAGTACTCATAAGTTTAAGTTTTCCCTCCATTCGTTAGGGTGATTTCACTGTTTCAGGGCTTTACTTTTTCACTGGCAAACTATCACCGTGAATGGATCATTAATGACCTTCTTGATGATATCTCTTACTTGCTTTCATTATTCAGTTACCTGATCGACATTTTCGAACTACAACGTCGGTGGGTACTCCCTGGTTACCCCTTTACCTGTACCTTAAGCGGTCGAAGTCCAGTTTCTGACTATTTATTTCGTTCCCAAACTAACTTAAGTGAGAATAAATTCATAAATTTACATCATGCGTATTCTAATAATAGTCAAGTTGTCTCCCTGAACTATTGAAATCGTGTGGTTTCATGGTACCTGATTTTGCTTCATATATACAGGCTTTTCAAAAGTCTGTGAAGACTAGCATTTTCTTTTCAAGTTTGAGCACGGATTGATATCAGTTAGAGAAACATTGAAAACCGGGCAGCTGGTGTAGAAGAGCTGTAAGGTATTGACTAGCTGCAATATGCTGTAGCCTTACGAAATGTGGTTTGCCTAATTATTTTTTATTTTTTTTAATTTTTTTTTGATTTATTTATTTTGATTATTCTGACCATTGCGTACTGACTGCAAAACGCAGACCAAATGACTGTTATTTAGTAATGTGCACTGATGTTCAGCGGATTTTAGTAAGATGACAGGCTGCAGTTGATCAAGGAGAAACTCAGAACTTCTTAGGTTGGTATGGTTGCATTATGGACTCAGGGTATGTCCATGTTAATAGCACAGGAAAGGAGCGCAAAAATGGAATTCAAGTCTAATCGGGCTGTTGCCCGTCAAAACAAAATGTAAAGCGCCTCTGGGAAACCAATTAGTCAATTTGCTTAGACGACTCCGAGCCCTATTCCTATGGGCCTAAACTAGAAATAGCACGGCTGTTTTATGGCCACTCATCCTGCTATATCTGAACTTTATCTACACTACCTCCCCAGGTTGCTCTTGACAGTGCCTCAACTAGCAGAGGGAAAATATGACACTTACGGCTGATCGAGGGTTATTTGGAAGGGTGTGAGGACAGTGACGAAACAGATAATCACACGCCTATGCACCGGGACGCACCTGTTGGAAAGCCAACTGTTCCGGATTTGATGCATTTGATAAACCGACCGCTGAAAGAGAAATGCCTGGGATTCAAGTGAATGGACTGTGGCACAGTGGCTATGACGCTTGTCGACCATGCACGTGGTCCGGGATTAAGCCCTCTGCTGACTCACACACGATATCAATGTCCGACCTGCAAAACTTTGGCCACCGAAAACACGTGCAAAAATTCCATAGTAGTACAAAAAATACCGTGGAGTTTCAAGCTATAGTCAAAAGAATATAATAAACATTTGTTTCTATCAATGTAGGAACACAATATTTGCACAAACATGAATTATTATTATTATTTTTATTATTGCTCCCTTGGGTTCCTAGTGGAACATAGGGCTTCAACTGCACGTCTCCATTTTCTTCTATCTTTTGCTATACTTTTCGCCTGCATCCATGTTAATCCATATTCTTTCAACTCCTCTTCACACGATCTCCTCCATGTCACCCTTGGACGTCCCACACGCCGCTTCCCTTTCGGGTTCCACTCGAGGGCTTGGCGCGCGACGTCACCCAGTGGTCTCCTCAGCGAGTGTCCTACCCATCTCCACTTTCTCCTGCATATTTGTTGGACGATTGGTTCTTGCTTTGTTTGTTCCCATAATTCCTTGTTGGTGATTTTTTCCGGCCATCTGATCTTCAGTATTGAGCGAAGACAGTTGTTAATAAAAGTCTGCAACCTTTTGGAAATATTCTTTGTGACCCGCCAAGTTTCTGATCCGTATAGAAGAGCTGACTTTACGTTTGTATTGAAAATCCGAATTTTATTGGTGATGCTGAGTGACGAAGATTTCCAGATTTATTTCAGGCTGATGAATGTGTTTCTCGCCTTCCCGATTCTCGCTCGATTTGCCATCCTCGTCCGCTCCTCCTGTAGTTGAGAAAATGCTCCCTAGATAAGTGAATGAAGTAACCTCTTTCAAATCCCTCCCGTTGATGGTGATTGACGTTGGATGTTATTGCTGTTGTTGGTTGGTTATTTTCATGACCTCCGTCTTGTCTATGTTCACCTGGAGTCCTGTCTTTCCTGCTTGTTTGACCAGTTTGTCGGTTTTCGCTTGTAAGTCTTCGGTTGTGTGTGACATCAAACATAAGTCATCCGCGAAATCCAGGTCTTCTAGGTTCTTCACGTCGGTCCAGGTTATCCCTGTCTTCTCGTTTCCCACAGTCTGACGCATAATCCAGTCCACCACAATTAGGAATATCATTGGTGATAGTAAGCACCCTTGTCTGACTCCTGTGTTTACTCCAAACGCCTCGCTGAGTCTTCCGTTGTGGATCACTTGGCAGGTGCCGTTGTCTTACAGCTGTTGAATAAGGTTGATGAATATTTGGGGTACGCCATAGTACTCGAGTAATTTCCAAATTACTTCACGGTCAACGTTGTCGAAGGCCTTCTCGAAATCTATAAAGTTGAGGTAGAGGTTTGGTTGCCATTCCATGCTTTGTTCGATGATGATGATGCGTAGAGTTGCAATTTGGTCAGTACATGATTTGCCTTTCCTGAATCCAGCTTGTTCTAGTCGGAGTTCTGTCTCCAGTGCGTCCTTTATTCTCTCCAGGATGATGCGACTCAGGATTTTACTTGGCGTCGATAGAAGCATGATTCCTCGTCAGTTCTTGCAGAGTGAGGCGTAAGTCGCCCTTCTTTCGTAGTTTCACGAGGTAACCTTTCCTCCAGTCAGTAGGCACCTTTCCCTCCTTACAAACCTTTTGCAATAATGGAGTCAGCATGTCTGCTGTCGTCTCTGGGTCTGCTTTCAGTGCTTCAGAGGGTATTCCATCTGGTCTGGCTGTTTTTCCAGCTTTCAGAAGTTTGATTGCATTCAAGACTTCAGTTTTCGTTGGAGGATTGGTGTCAACTTACAGTTGTGTGTGCGCTGTTGTTGGTATTTCTGGACGGGTTGCAGGTGGGGGTCGGTTCAAGAGTCCTTTGAAGTGATCCGCCCATTGTTTAATCTGTTTTTCTTCCTTGGTATTTGGGTTCCCTTGGCTGTCTCTTATAGGTTTCACCTGTGTTGATCTCTTCCCGGATAGAGATTTGGTTATCTGATATAGTGTCCTCAGGTCCCTTTTGCCTGCTGCCTTTTCAGCTTCAGTAGCTAGATTGTCGTAAAATCGTCTTTTGTCCTTCCTAGCACTTTTCTTCACTTCTTTGTCCAATGCTTTGTAAGTTGAGCTCATCGTCTCCTTCTCCTGTCCGTCCTTGCATTGAATCATTTTCTCTTTCACCATTCTCCTCTCTTCTATTAATTTCCAAGTGTCCGTTGAGAGCCATTCCTTGTCTTGTTTCTTTTTTCTTCCTAAAACCGTTGAACACGTTTCGTTGAGAATCGCCTTCAGAGACTTCCAACGTTCTTCCACACATGATTCTTCTGTGCTGTCGCGTAGTGTTTCCTGCTTTGCTCTGACAGTTGCAGTGAAGGTGTCTTTTGTGGTTGTGTCCTTCAGTAATTGGGTGTTGAACTTGCATTGTGGCCTATCCCCAGCTATCCTCGAGGCTTTTAGTTTCACCTTGAAAGTCCCTTCTACTATATAGTGGTCTGAACCCACATCTGCTCCTCTCCTTGACCTTGTGTCCAGTAGGCTTCGTCTCCACTTTCTTGAAATTGAGAAGAAGTCTATTTGATTCTTGGTGTTTCCATCTGGTGAAATCCAGGTCGTCTTGTGTATATCCTTGTGTTTGAACCCACTGACACAAATCACCAAATCATCGAAGGCGCAGAAGTCTGGGACGAGTTCACCATTGTTGTTCATTTCACCGAGGGCCTCTCGACCCATGGTGAGTTCTCTTCCTGTATTGTCTCCTCCCAGCTTTGCATTCATGTCAACAATCAGGATTTTGATATCGCCATTTGGGACGTTGTCCATTATTGCTTGTAGCTGCCCGCAGAACGCCTCCTTCTTCTCTTGTTCTGAGACGTTTGTAGGCGCATAGCATTGAATGACTGTAACTTTCCTTCCTTTTGAGTTGAACCTGGCTGTCATTATCCTGGAGGAGATTGGTTCCCACTGCATGAGAGCTTTGGTTGCTGTTGGTGACATCATGATGGCCACCCCGTCGGTGTACTCATGGTTGTCCTCTAGGTGGCCGGCATAGATTACTGTCTCTCCAGTAGGTAGTTGGCACCTTCCAGTTCCGTTCCATCTG